TCCCCCCCTTCCTCCTCTCCCCCTCTCCCCCTCTCCCCCCCCTCCCCATCAGCCATACTCACACTCATGGAGGTTATTGGGAGGAGATATAGGTTCGCTTGACCAGGGCACGCGGGTCATGCTCCATGGTCAGGAGCCGTCGCTCAACCAGGTGGCTGTTCCGGATGCCTCGGGTCGGTTTGTGTTGTATGTGAGGGCAGGGGGTGAGGAGGAGGAGGAGGAGGGGGAGGGGGAGGAGAGAGAGAGAGAGAGTGTGATGATGGCGATGGATGCTGTGATGGCGATGGATGCTGTGATGACGATCGTTGCTGTGATGGCGATCGATACTGTGGTACGGTTGTTGGATGGGGGACTCATGGGTGTGGATGGGATGTGGGCATGATGAGTAGTGATGGCATTCCGGAGGTGAACAGCCAGTATCGGGTGGATGTGGTGAGCATGGAGTACGAGTTCATGGCGGCGCGGGTCATTGTGTCACCGGGCAAGAAGCCAATGATGCGGGCCAAGGCGGCAAACGACTCGACGATCCGGCTGGCGTACCCGCTTGTGCTCAAGCCGATCGCTCCTGCAGTTTTCCTTACCGAGCCGCAGACGACATCGATTCTCTCGATGGTGCTGGGCAACCCCATGATCCTGATGATGGTGGTCATGGGTGGGCTCTCCATGCTCATGCCCAAGCTGATGGAGAACCTCGACGACGAGGCCAAGGAGGAGCTCAAGAATTCAACCTTTGCCAAGTCGCAGGCCCAGGCCAACAACTTTGACGTCGTCGGCTCGCTGTCATCAGCCGCGGCCTCGTGGTCCGCCCCCAGTGACGACACCCCGGCTCTGACTCCGTCCACCAAGGCGACCAAGTCCAAGAAGCGGCGCTGAAGTAACATGCCGCCATCAGATCCCCTCCCCCCTCACCTTCTGTCTATCTCTCCTCCATACGCCTCCCCCCCCACCCCCTCCCCCCTCTGTCCACTGTCCATCTGTTCTGCCCCTCCGATCTCCCGCCCCAATTATCTCTCCTATCCCGTTGATCCCGCTGGTCCCTTCCATCCCGCTGATCGCCGGCTGTCCCCCCCCCCCCCCCTCGCCGCCTCGCCGCCTGTTGGGGAGACTGTCCCATCCCCGCGTGACCGCATGCGTGACCAGCAGGCACCACCCGTCGGGGGCGACCCAGGCAGACGGGACCGGGTTACCGAGCCACCACCCCTCTCCCCCCCTCTCCTACTCTTACTGCTGGTATGAGGGTCTCTACTCTCCTCGCAGCCGTCCTGGCCTTGACCATGGTCGGCCTCGTCGCGCATGCCCAGACACAGTCGCCGCCTCCGCCGCCTGCTACCGCATCGCCACCTCCGCCGCCTGCTACCGCATCGCCTCCGCCGCCTGCTACCGCATCGCCACCTCCGCCTGCTACCGCATCGCCTCCGCCGCCTGCTACCGCATCGTCCTTGGAAAAACTCCCGATGGTAGAGATTAGAGACCACGGCTTCCCCGCCGCCTCCACCATCCCCGCCACCGCCATCCCCGCCACCACCGCCGCCACCATCCCCGCCGCCGCCTTCTCCGCCGCCGCCGCCGTTCTCATCGCCGCCGCCGCCGCCGTCCCCGCCTCCTCCGCCGCCATTCCCGCCACCACCACCGCCATCTCCCCCGCCACCATCGCCGCCGCCACCTCCGCCGCAGCCGACGGTCACCTCCACCGACCCGCACGCCGGAGCCAACGACGTGCCGCTCACCGCCACCATCCGGGTCACCTTTTCGACTCCGATGGAGGCGACCACCACGGCTGCGGCGTTCTCGATCGCCCCGGCCGTCATCGGCTCGCTCTCGCTGGCCGACGCCACGACGCTGGTCTTCACTCCGGCAAGCCTCCTGCCTAACGACGCCACCTTTGTCGTTGGCGTCAACGGATCGGCCATGTCCATCGCCGGCATTCCTCTTGCTGGTGCCATCGCCTTTAACTTTACTACCTCGCCGCACCCATACGTGGTGGCCATGAGCCCGGCGCCGCACGATCCGGTCGTCGCTCCGACAGCGCCGATTGTCCTTACCTTCACCGCGCCCATGAACCAGGCGGCCACCCTCGCAGCGTTCTCCACGACGCCGGCGCTCCCTGGCACGGTCTCGCATGTATGGAACGCGGCTGGAACGGTCCTCTCTGTCAGTCACACTGGCCTGTTTGGCTCGACATCGACGTATTCGGTCAATGTGTCATCGGCGGCGACGTCGGCTGCCGGTGTAGCTCTTGCACCGCCGTTTGGCGCTGACTTTACCGTGGTCTCTGTGCCCATTGTCACCGCGTTCTACCCGCCCAACGGACAGACCGGCGTTGCGCCGTCTGAGACCGTTGTCGTCCACTTTTCTCGCGCCATGGACACGTCCCAGGCCGAGACGGCGTTCTTCCTCTCCGGCCCGACCGGCAATGTCACCGGTGCAATCACGTGGCTCCAGTCCGGATCCGTCCTTGTCTTTACGCCAGCTGCTGACCTCGTCCCTGGCAGTATGTACACCGCGGCGATCGGTCCATCGGCCCGCGACCTCGCCGGCGTTCCGCTCTACCGACCGTACACAGCCTCATTCTCGGTCGCCTCACCGCCGATTATCACAAGCTCGCTGCCGGCCAACAACTCGGCGTCGGTCTCGGTCTTTGCCTCGGTGGCCATCACGTTCTCGCAAGCGATGGCGCCCGACACCACGACGGCCGCGTTTTCGCTCACCCCGCACGCCCCAGTCGCTTGTGCCATGGCCAACGACAACCATAAGCTGGTCTGCGTCCCGACTCTGGGCCTCTCTTCATCGACAGTGTACGTCGCGGCGCTGGCGCCGACTGCCATCTCGCTCGCGGGAGATCGCCTCGCCGGCCCGCACACCATTATCTTTTCCACAGAAGGCGCGCCGTCGGTGGCTAGCGTCGACCCGGCCGACGGCGCGACTGGTGTCTCGGTTGTCGCCAGCATCGCCATCACTTTTACCACGCCCATGGCGACGTCGGCCACTGCCGCCGCCTTTGCGCTCTACCCGTCGTCGGGCGGACCGGCCGACGCCGTCGCCGGCGTCGCTTCGTGGTCGACTGACAAGACACGTCTGACCTTTGATCTTGCGGGTGGAAGCCAGCTCGGGTCGGACACCAGCTACAGCGTGCTTGTAGGCCCCGGCGCCCGCTCTGAGGCAGGCACTCCGCTCCAGGGCGGCACGTTTGCCTCGACCTTTACTACCGTCACCGTCCCGCAGCTGTTGGGCGCTACGCCGGCCGCTGGCGCGGCTGACCTGCCATCGGGCGCGCCGCTTGCGCTCGCACTGTCGTTCAACGTGGCCATGAACAGCGGGTCGCTCGCAGCGGCGACCGTCGTCACCATCTTTGACCAGACCCGCGCCGAGCTCGGCCCGCTCAACGGCACGCTCGGCTGCAACGGCGAGGCCAAGGTTTGCACCTTTTCCTCGATCTCGCCGCTCGACACCCTCCGCACCTACCGAGTCGACGTTTCGGCTGCCGCTGAGGCCGCCGACGGCACGCCGCTGGCGGCGCCGATCAGCTTTCTCCTCTCAACCTCGGGCATCCCGGTGGCGAGCAGCACAAGCCCCGCAGCGCACTCTCCGGGAGCCGACCCACTCGCAGCCTTGAGCGTGACCTTTACCCAAGCGATGGCCCCTGCTCCCACCGGCGGCGCCATCCAGCTCTTCCGCGGGACCAACACGTCAGCGCCGGTGGCTGGCCTCGGCGCGCCGGTGTGGAGCAGCGGTGACACGATGGCGAGCATGGCACCGCCGCCGGGCGGTCTTGCACCTGGCACGATCTACACCCTCACGGTGGGCGGCGCCGCCGTCGGAAGCAACGGTGCGCTGCTGCGGAGCGAAGTGATTGTCCCGTTTGTGACGTGGACGCCGCCAGTGGTGACCTTTGTTGCGCCGCGAGCCTCGTCGCCGACCGACCGCTTCCCCCGGAGCTCAAGCCTCCAGCTCCAGTTTTCCGAGCCAATGGACGTGACCTCGCTGCTCAGCGGCGGGCTTGTCTGCCTCTCGCATCCGGACTTGCTCGCGCCGGACAACGTGACGGTGGCGTGGTCGCTGGGCGACACCTACGTCCAGATTGGGTTTGTGTCCGGCCTCGGCTCGGGCATCAACTACACGCTTGCGCTCGAGGCCGGGGCGCTGCGTGCAGCGTCGGGTGCGCCGCTGACAGTCACCTACACCTGGTCGTTCACCACGCTCATCACGCCGCATGTGACGGCGGTCACGCCTGCTGACGGGACGGACTCGGTCCCGCTCCGTCCGCAGGTCACCGTGGACTTTTCGGTGAGCATGATCCCGTCGTCGGTCTTTGCCGCGTTTTCGGTTGCGCCAAGCAATGGTGGCAAAGCGGTTCTGGGCTACGCGCACTTTGCGGCGTCGTCACAGACTTTGCTGGTGTGGACACCGCAGGAAGACCTGGTGCCGGGCACGACGTACACCGCGCGTGTGGCGTCGACCGCGACGTCGGCCGCCGGCGCGCGGCTCCCGGCCGAGGTGACATGGTCGTTTACGGTCACAGGCGTACCGCGCGTGTTGGCGGTCTCACCCGCAGACGGCACGAGCAACGTATGGGCGACGTCGGCCATTGAGCTCACTTTCTCTCGCGAGATGGACCGGGCGTCGACACTGGCTGCGCTACAGATCACGCCGGCGCTCGATGGCGCCACAGTGGCATGGTCGGAGACCTCGCGACAGCTACGACTGACACCCGACGCGCGCGGCCTTGCGCTCGACGCGCGATACTCGCTGGAGCTCTCGACGCAGGCACGCGGCAGCAACGGGCTCAACCTCACGGTGCCGTTTGTGTCGTCGTTCACCACCTCGCGGCTCGATCCGTTTGCGCGGTGCAGCGACAAACCGGGCATCCTCTGCGGCGAGTGCCAGTTCATTTCACCGTCGTGCGCGTACAACTTTACGTCGGGCACGTGCCAGCTTGGGTACAACCGGGCGCAGTGCGCGCTGCCGGCGAGCCAGTGCTTTGACAAGTACCGGCTGCACACATCCATCGGATATGGCGTGGGCGGGGCTGCGTTGGCGCTTGTGGTCGTGGGCGTACTCGCGCTCATGGCCATGGGCCTCCGGACGGGACTGGAGGCTGCGGTGGTGATGAGCGTGCTGCTTGCGGTCGGCCTAGGCACGGCAGCGCTCGCCGTCCCGCAGTGGCGGTTTGACGACGAGAGCCCCGAGTTTGCAGCCGGCGTGGACATCCTCGTCGTCACCGGTCTGTTTTCGGGCAAGCTCGTGACGTCGTCTGCGGCGGGCGACGCATCGAGTGGGTGCACGGCGACGACGATCAAGGCTGGGCAGCTAACGAGCGAGTACAAGAAGGGATCGTACATTGCGGCGACTGGGCTTGCGCTCAGCCTCGTGGCGCACGTTGTTGGTGTCGCCCTCCTCGCCATTGTCAAGCGCGAGGCTTCGGGCTACTTTAGTTTTGCTTCGGAAGCTGCAGAGCGGCGGCGCAAGCGGCTCACACCGTTTGTCTTCTGCTTTGGCGGCCTTGCAGCTGGTGCCGGCATCGGTGCGTGGCTCGGGATCTCGCTCGACAGCGGCAGCATCGGGGTGGCGCCGCTCTTTGGCCTCGGAGCCAGCGGGATCGGCCTTGTTGCCGGCCTTGCCCTTGCTTGGTCGTGGCGGCCATCGCGATCGGGCTACGTTGAGTTTGGCGATGCCATGGTCGAGCTTGACCCAAACGTCCACTATGCGCTCAAGTGAAGTGTACGATCTGGTTGGGGAGTGTGAGTGGGCGATGTGTGTGTGTGAGTGGGCGATGTGTGTGTGTGTGTGAGTGGGCGATGTGTGTGTGTGTGTGAGTGGGCGATGTGTGTGTGTGAATGGGCGATGTGTGTGTGTGTGTGTGTGTGTGTGGGCGATGTGTGTGTGTGTGTGAGTGGGCGATGTGTGTGTGTGAGTGGGCGATGTGTGTGTGTGTGTGTGTGGTGGGCGATGTGTGGATGTGTGTGTGTGTGTGTGAGTGGGCGATGTGTGTGTGTGAGTGGGCGATGTGTGTGTGTGTGTGAGTGGGCGATGTGTGTGTGTGGGCGATGGGCTTTGGGGCAGGAGGCGGGAGGCTGGAGACTGCGACAACAATCAGCTGACTCCACCAAAGGTGGAGGAGGGGAAGGAAGGCACGAGCGAGAGCAAGAGCAAGAGCGAGCAGGAGCAAGCGCGTGTGTTTCGGTGAGTATGGGCATCTTCAGCAAGAGCCTGAGTGCTGTGGAGAAGCTCGAAGCGGACGTTGTGGTCAATGCGACGTATCCGCTTCAACGACGAGATGACGGAGTGCTCCGTATGTGGAAGAGGTACCATGTGGTGTATGTGGCCGGTGCTGCTGTCGTCGTCACCTCGGCTGCTACCATTGTTCTCGCATTGGCTGGTGCTGTTCTTGAGTTTTACTTTGTCCTCGTCCTTGCTGCTCTCCTCATGTCCATCATTGCTCTGGTGGCATACAAGGACATTCGATACCTGACCATTGCTCCCTTGGATGGTTGGTACTCGTTTGAACTCTCGTCAAAGTCGGCGCCCATCGTCAAGGCTCCGCTACACAACGTTTATCTTCGCATTGAGCGGCAGACGGGCTTCTCGGGGAAGACCTACTATGTTCTGGTACTCAATGGCTACATGATGGACAAGTTCATTCTCTCGGCCGCCGTGCCCTCGTCAGACGTTGACGATCTCCGCAAGATCGCAAACGTCCTCGCGTACAACATAGGCATCAACTACTTTGACGTCGCTAACATTTCCAGGCTCCACACTGTCCGCCATCACCGCCCCAAAGCAGACAACCCGCTGCGTGCTACCCTGCCGCTTGGCATGTGACTCTGTCCTTGAGCAGAGCGCCTTGCTGGTACAACCAGAGCGTATGCTTGATGGATGCTCGTTCATTGACTGTACCGCAGGCAGAGTGCGGCGCGCCAAGAGTGTATTTTGGTGCGGCGCAGACGGCGAGCAGCTGCCATGGCGCAGGGTGGATCACTTGCGCCGCTTTGGTGGGCGGGCGATGCGGTTGTCCTTGAGGATGCTCTTTGTGGAGCGCCGGCGCTTGCCACGGGTGATGTCGTGCTGGATCTTGTCCGAGATGTGGAGCGTGCCCTTCTTAAAGACACCGACCGAGGCCTTGATGCCGCGCATACCCTTTGCGTACTCGTTCGGGCCACGGCGCATCTTGCGAAAGTCGTCGAGGCGATGACCCTCGCCGCGGGTCTTGGCTTTGCGCTCAAAGATGCCCATCTGCTGCTGATGCAGCTTGGCCTTGGCCTCGCGCTTCTTCTTGGCCTCAGCCAAGCCGATGCGGACGGCGCGCGGGCCTTCTCCTTCTTGAACGGCTTGGCGCCGAGCTTCATAGCTCTCCGTTCGAGCCACTCGCGCTTGGACTTGGCCTTCTTCAGCGTCTTGCCGATGTATTTGTCCAGCTCGTCCTCCACCTGTGCCAGTTCCAGTTCTGGTCGCCCAGGCTTTGTCGACTCGACCTCTGCGTCGCCTCCAGACCGTCCCCGTCCGGATCCGCGCTTCTTCTTCCCAGCACCACCGATATATGTACTTGCCGCTACGTCCTCCTCCACAATCTCCAGCCGGGAACTCGACACAGGCCGCCTCCGCACCCCACCACCGGTCCGATTCCCACCCGGCCGTCCCCCGCTGGTCGCTCCCCGCCCACCGCCCGTCTGTCGTCCAACACTCCCCACGGCCTTGACCTCAATCTCCCCGCTCGACGACGACGAGCACGAGCCAGACTCAGACATGCTTACACCTGCGCTCGCCTACACACTCGCCTCAAGTTTGGCGTCACGTGGTGTCCGTCCAGCACGCCTCTGCCCCCTCCGTCTCCCAATCCCACCGTGTCCCGAGATGGATGGGCTGAAGCAGGATCGGCTTGGGGCTCCGTTCGCGTCGGACACGGGCTCGAGCACAGCTGGGCGATGGTCACGGCCTGGTTGCCAGATTGTGCAGCGGGATGGTGGCCAGTCTGCGTGTTTAGCATAAACCCATGGTGGAGAAGAGTAGCGTCGTCTGATTTCAAGATGATGGGTGTGGGGAGGTGCAGTGGCGGCCAAGGCGACGTGTCGCTCTCAGCTGGTTGAGTCGCAGTCGGCGTGGGCGCATGTGGCAAGGATTGACAGATGAAGCGATTGTGGCATGGGGAGAGGCGGAGGTGTGGGTATAGACGACGTCGACGTGTCTGTGCCAGAAGAGGCCGATGATGAGGCCATGGCTGCGGGAGAAGTGAAGGTCGTGGCTCCGGGCTTTGCCTGTCGGGCTCACTAGTACGATTAACTCTTGTAAGGTTAATGGTAGTCTCGGCCAGTACGATTAACCCTTGTAAGGTTAATGGTAGTCTCGACCAGTACGATTAACTCTTGTAGGGCTAATGGTAGTCTCGGCCAGTACGATTAACTCTTGTAAGGTTAATGGTAGTCTCGGCCAGTACGATTAACTCTTGTAGGGCTAATGGTAGTCTCGGCCAGTACGATTAACTCTAAAGGTTAATGGTAGTCTCGACCAGTACGATTAACTCTTGTAAGGTTAATGGTAGTCTCGACCGTACGATTAACTCTTGTAGGGCTAATGGTAGCGGGGCGAGGGCACGACACCCCTCTCCCGTGGCGCAACAAGGCACGGCAGCATGTCCATCCATCGGAGAGTAGACACACGAGTCCAGCCGCCACCACCAGGCCATTGCCATGTCCGCTGTGTCTCGTGCCGTGGCATCCTCAACGTGCCTGTGGGCGAGTCGCTTGTCCGCTGTCCCTGCGGCCAGGTGTTGAAGAGTACGCACAAGACAGCCACGCGTGCCTACATACAGAGACCAAGAGCACACATATATATATATACATATATATATGTGTATGGGTGGGTGTGTGGGGGTGGGGTATGGGGGTGATTATCGTGGTGATGATGGTGATTGTCGTGGTGATGATGGTGATTGTCGTGGTGATGGTGGTGGTGGTGGGCCCTAGTCTCTCCGCCTGTCGTCGTCGGTGACTTGTGCGCATGCTGCCATGACCGTGGCTTTGTTGGCTATGGGAAAGGGGGAGAAGGGGGGGGGTGGGGGGGGGTGGGGGTGGGGGAGAGTGCAGGCAGTGGCGGTGTTCCGTCTGGTGGCACCTATCCTCTCTGTCTTTTGTTGCTGTGTGTGGTCGGAGAGAGCACAGCGCGGTCACATCGATGGCCGGCGGCAAAGGAGATGGCCGCACGACTCGACTCACTTGGCTCTCTCCTCACACCGCACAGTGCCTCCGCAGGCAGCGGCCCCGATGCATCAGCAGGCAGAGGTGCCGATGGTGCGGGCAAAGTGCCGATCATGCCGAGGCATCATCGAGTTTCCGGCTCATGTTACCCAGGTCATGTGTCCGTGCGGCGCCCTGGTGTCGATTGTGGCACAGACGGAGCCCGTAGGCAGGCGGCGCGCGGTGGGAACCGCACCTGGCGCGACGGGCAGGACTAACAAGTCTGGCTACTCGCAGCTGGGCAACGCTGCGCCCGAACCGTTGCCGTCTACCAACACCCCCGCCGCGGCTCCGGGATCTGTCCGGGCGCACGCTGCCGAGATCGACTCGGACTCGGACTCGGACCTCGAGGAGGACGACTCGTTCTCGCGCTCGGACTCGGACGAGGGCCTGCAAGTCAACGCGTCAGCCCAGACCGGAGCCAAGCCGGTGGGGCAGCCGTCCATTTTGTAGCCATCCAGCGTTTACTCCATCTGCAGCGACGAGAGCCCGCCGGCGACCATCGACTCGGTCTCGGCCAGCCTGAATGTGGTGGCATGGCTCTCGATGGTGTCCAGCGGCGGCGGCGGTGCAATCGAGTTAAATTGCTGCGACTCGACGTGGCCGATGGCCACAGAATCCATCGACGACATGGTTACCAGCGTCGCGCCGTCACCGTCGGTGTCCTCGCTCGTCCGCATCATGCCCATCATCTCATCGTCGAGCTCCTCCGCGGCCTTGCGCTCCGACCGCAGCATGCGCAGCACGTCTAGAACGTTGCCGACCACGATGCCGACCACAATCGTCACAATGCCGATGCCCACGCCGGCGTGCCGGACCTTGCGATCCTCCACGGTTCCGGCCTCGAGAACCAGCGCCGCCGCCGCAAGCACCCCGACCGCCAGGCTGTTGTGCAGCGTTGCCCGGTACGGGAGGACGACCGCGAGATGGACGAGCGAGCCGGCGAGGACCACCACACCGGCCGATGCCTTGGAGTCAGGCGCGGCAAAGGCTGTGAGGACGGCGACAAGGACAAGCTTGCGGCCCATGATGGCCGCCTCAAAGTACCAGTGTGCGTCCTTGAATCGCGCGACAAGGAAGCCGTACTTGAGAACAAAGCTGATGCCGTCTTCGCGAGCCCGTTGCCGGCGGAGCACAAAGACGACGAGGCTGGGAACAGCCAGGGCGTAGACAAGGATGCCGGCAAAGCCGATCGGGAATAAGGCCCACCATCGCGAGTCGTAGCATGCCCGCGATGGATCGTCCGCCACATACCACCGGCCGGCCTCGTCGCGGGCACAGCCAAAGACAGAGAACGCCGCAGCCACCAGCGGGAGGTACAGCAGGACCAGGATCTGGAACATGGTCCGGACGCTCGCCGATATCAACTGCGCGCTAGTCTTGTGGCAGAACCACGGGGCGCCTGCCATCTGCAGCGGGTAGAACGTGGTGCACACCACGATCACCACCACGATCGCCGCCATCACTGGCAGCAGGAGCGTGAGGATGAGCTTGACCACCCAGACGTCGACGCCTGCGCTCGCAGCACACTCGGGCGACGACAGCTCGATGTTGAGGTTCACGCTCGACGCAATGTCGAAGAACAGATCGCCAAAGTCGCCCCACTCGATCTCGATCTTGCCGTAGAGCGCGGCGACCTGAAGTGCGTTGAGCCCAATCATCGCCGCAGCGAAGCGGTAGTTGAGCTGCTCCGAGAGGTTGAACACGAGCAGGAGCGCCACAAGTGCCACGCCGGCCAGCACAAGCAGCGTGATGATCACACCTTGGCGGGTCGAATCGCACGGCCGGCATGCTGTGCCGAGTCGATAGTAGCCGTGCGCGCAGGCAGAGCACATGGTCGACTGGTAGCCGGCGGCGCATCTACCGCCGCCGACGCACGCCGCCGCGTTCGGGCACGAGAGGAAGAGCTCTTCGGATCCGTCAATGGGGAAGAAGCCGCGGCCGGCCCGCGGCTTGGTCCATCCGCCGTCGCACACCGCGCCGCGTGGGCACGGCTCGCAAGCCGCCGTCAGCATCGGCGGTGCCTCGCGGGTCCACGCCCCCAACTCACACTCGCAGCTCACCAGGGCCGTCGCATTGGCTGCCGCCCGCCGGAACGCTCGTCCCGGGCAGATTGGAATGGCATTGCACGGCTCCGCCGACGAGCTCGGCGAGTACGAGCCGTCTGAGCAGGGCACGCATCGCAGGAGCTCGCTCTCGGTGCTGCTGAGCCCGCTCGCCCCATAGCCCGGCGGGCAGAGGCCGAGCACGATCGCCACTGTTTCGCGGGCCTGCGAGCCGGGCCCCTCGAGTGTGATCGCTAGCTCAAGCTCGGCAGGCAGCGCCGAGCCAGGCCCGCTCACCACCACTGAGTCGAGCGCTGCGCCGCCGCCGGCTCTGATGGCGAACTGGATGCCGAGCTCGGCACCGCGAACGGCAAATGGCGCGGCGACCGAGATCGAGGCCACGAGTGAGCCGTCGACAACCGCCTGGCCGAGCGCATCGGTTGCGCCGACCCAGCCCGAGCCGACAGCAACGCCCGTGATGACCGCAGCTGAGCTCGGTAGGTTGATTGTCAGCGCCGTGGCAGGCGTTGCGCCGACAGGCCCGTACCCATCGGCAGTCAGTGTTGCACTGCCGGCATTGGCTGGCGGCTGAATCCAGGTTGGCAACGACGCGCTTCCGCTGCATACGAACCAGAGGCCGCCTCCGATCCGCGCACTGCTGGGGCCGGACATGCTCGCCGAGGCAGCGCTGATCTCGGCCCCACAGGCGAACATTGAGCCGCCGTAGCTGGCTGTGTTGTGAGCGAGGGTGGAGCCGGACCCGATGACGAGGGTCGGGCGGGCTAGCGCGGCAACAGGGGACGAGACTGGTGAGAGCCATGCAGCCGAGCTGGCGGCAGCATCGAGCATGACGTAGCCGGCGGCCATGCTCGCCACCGCTCCGCCGTAGGCGGCATCGTTACCAGAGATGAAAGCGGCATCGCCCAGGCTGAGCTGGGCTCCTGTGGCCGCAAAGGCAGCGACACCGCCGCCGGCGAGCCGCGCCGAGTTTGCCGAGATGCCTGTTCGCGAGATAGAGACGGTCGAGTGCGAGCTCGCGGCGTCGAGCATGATGCCGCCGCCCGAGCCAGCGGCGGCGATGTTGGCGGTGATGCAGCCGCCGGTGATGGTGATGGTTGCCGAGTTGGCCACGACGGCCAGTCCGCCACCACCACGGCCGCCGGCCTTGTTGCCGCGGAGGACGGTGTTGACAAGAGTCAGCGAGGGCGCCTGGCCGAGGGCGACGATGCCGCCGCCGACGTCCGAGGCCGAGTTGGCGACAAACTCGCAGCCGATGGCCTCCACTACGGCGCCATCGACGACCGCAAGCGCGCCGCCCATGCCGGCAAAGAACTGAAAGGGAGAGGCCGATATGGAGGAGAAGCTGGTGATGGTGACGTTGGCCATCCGCAGATCGGCGCCAGCGCCTGCGGCGCGGAGGCCCGTGACGGCGGTGGGCGACGCGCCGACGGTGGCGTTGGCGAGGACAAGATTGGCCAGGGTCAGCTGGCCGCCGGCAACGACCTCCCACAGGACGCCGCCACCGCCGATGGCACAGTCGATGACCGGGCGGGTAGCCGAGGCTGGGCCCGAGATGGACCACCATGCGTCAGCCGGGACGAGTAGATGGCCGGCAGTCGGGCAGTGGCCGAGTGTTGCACCGGGCGGTAGCTCGATCTCGACGGGCATACATCGCGATGCGGTGCTGAGGGCGTAGTGGAGGTCAAAGACGGTGGGATGGGACGGGAGGAGCGGAAGGGCTGGCTTTGCGCGCAGCGCTGGGCGCTGGACAAAGAGGCGGACCGAGTTCTCGGCGGGGATGGTGGCGGTGAGGTCGAGGAAGCCGTCGTTGTTGATGTCGCCAAGGGCGACGTTGGCGGGGCGATCAAAGAGCGATGTGACGGTCTGGGCCTCTTCCCAGTCTCGCCCGCCGGCGTTGGCAACAAAGACGATGCGATCATCCCCGGCCGAGCCGAGGGCCAGGTCGGGGCTCCCGTCACCGTTGACGTCGACGCATGGGCCGAGGTATGGGTCGGCAAAGACACCGGGCACGGCGATGGGCGCCGAGAACGAGCCGGGCGATGTGAGCGATCCGTAGGCAACGCTCACGACAGGCGAGCCACCATTTGTACCGAGGATGATATCAAGCGCGCCGTCAGCGTCGGCGTCGCAAAGGGCGAGCGAGCGCGGGAAGCCGGCGGTGGGCGAGTGGATGGCGGCGAGTGGAGCAAAGGCGAGCGGAGCCGAGGGCGCATCGAGGTTGCGGAGCCAGCCAAAGAGCCTGATGGTGGAGTAGGAGACGGCAATATCCGGGCGGCCGTCGCCATCGATGTCGCCGATGGCGATGTCGACGGTGACGACGTCGGTCGGGGCGGTGTCGTGAATAGCTAGCGCGGGCCAGGTGGCGGAGAATGCGACAGCAGGCCCGGGGTTGGTGTAGACCTTGACCGCCGAAGTGGGCGCGACCGAGTCTGCGCAGGCAGCGACGATGTCTGGGGCGTTGTCGCCGTTGAGATCGGCTACCTTGACTTTCATGGCGCCGGCGCAGTCTGCGTCGACGACAAAGGGCGCGGTGGCAAAGGAGCCGCGACCGGCGTTGCGCCACAGACCGACAGTGGCGGCGTCGTCGCCGGCGGCGACGAGGTCGATGGCGCCGTCGGCGTCAAAGTCGGCGTGATCGACGGCACGGGCGCCGAGGAAGACACCCGAGATGAGGGTCTCAGGCTCGTCGATAAAGAAGCCGCGGCCGTCGTTGGGGTGGAGGACGAGCGAGTTGTCGTTGGGCGAGGCGACGACGACGTCTTTCCATCCATCGCCGGTAAAGTCGGCTATGGTGGCCCATGCGGCTCCGTTGGCGGTGACAGTGACGGTGCGGTACTTGGGAAAGACGCGGGTGAGGGCTGGCGCCGGAAAGGTGAGGAGGTGGACGGCCGAGGAGGTGGTGTCGGCGGTGACGATATCGAGTTGGCCATCGCCGTCAAAGTCGGCAAGGGTGAGGCCAATGGCGTCGACATTGTCCATGATCTCTTGCTTGCCGGCGATGAAGAGGCCGGGTGCGGCGGCGAGGACGACGACCACGTGGTTGCCGGTTGAGTCTGCGGCGACGATGTCGGGCAGATTGTCACCGTTGATGTCGGCGAGGGCGAGCGAACGCGGCCCGTTGATGTCATCGATGATGGCGATGCGCTCTGCAAAGGAGCCGGAGCCGTCGTTGCGGCGAAAGGAGATGAGGTCCTCGCTGAGCGAGGAGATGAGCACGTCAACGTCGCCGTCGAGGTCGACGTCGCCAAGCGCGATGTGGCGCGGATGGTCGACAACTGGAGCCACGATGCGATGGGCGTTGACGACAGCAGAGAGGTTGGCGGAGCCTGAGTACCAGGTGACGATGTCGGAGACGACCCAGGGGACAACAATGTCAAGCACGTTGTCCTCGTCGATGAAGCCGAGCTTGAGCTCTGCCGGCGCCAGATAAGCGTCGGCGATGACAATGTAGGCGCCAGAGGCCATGCCGAGGAGGTCGCCCGGAGAGGCTACAGCAACGCCGACGTGGTTGGATTCAAAGAGGGAAAAGGCCAGATCAAGCAGGCCGTCGCCGGTGACGTCGCCGACAGCCACAGCATGCGGCCCAGAGTCGAGCGGTAGAGCGAGGACTGAGCGGTGGGCAAGGGAAAGGAGGCGTTCCAGCCAATGTTGCGAAAGAGAACAATCTCATGAGCAGAGCCCGCAAAGGGAACTACAAGATCCGGTGAGCCATCACCATCGACATCATTGGTAGCCATGGCGCCACCGTGAGTCAGTGAGCTCTCCGATAGCGCCACGGTCCAATTACCAGCCGAGTTGCGGATGACGAGCCGCAAGCCGCCAGCGCCGGCCACGGCAACATCAGGCAGCGGATGGTGGAGGGAGAAGTGAGCAGATATGACCGCAGTCGGACCATTAAGCCCGGCATCAATGTCATTAGCCTCTGCATGTGCAAGCGCAAGCTCACACACCGCATGGGCAGCTGTGGCCATGAGTAGCAGTGCGCATGTCAGCCACACCAATTTCATAGCTTTGTCGGGTAGAGTGAGGTGACGCAGAGCGCGGCGGCTCCACCACCGCTTTCTCCCGGCTCCACGGGCTCCACCACCGTGATGTTGGGCTTGTCGCACGTTTACAGGCCGGCAATGGTCGGTCGGTGTGTTTGTATGTGTGTGTGTTTGTATGTGTATGTATGTGTATGTGTGTGTGTGTGTGTGTAGGTGAAGGGAGGGCGTGGCGTGGTCATCTTGCGCGATCGGTACGCTTGTTATTGGCTCGCCACTTGCAGGTGGCATGCTGCAGGTGCGATGCAGCCCGGGATGGCCCAGAAGAAGTGGAGGGCGGTATCGTCCTGGTTGGCAAGGTATCGGATGACTAACTCGGCCGTCGAGGTGATTCTGGCCGTGTGGCTTGGCTTCTTGGGCCTTTTCCTCCTCACGCTCTTCTCCACGCGCAGTTCAAGGGACGGCTCGACGGCGTTGATGTCGGCGCCGGAGTTAATGAGAAAGACAAAGACAGAGATGGAGAGCGGGGGTCGTCTCTGCGGCATGAAGGACGATGAAGAGGACGAGGGTGGCCTTGGTGATGCCGCTGGTTAGCTCGGTGGCGCCATCGTGCTGCAGGGTGGGCGGGCGCTCAACCCTCTCTTGCTACGGCATGTGAGTATACTTGATAATGGTGCCGCTGGTGGTGCGGTTCCGATCGAGCCTCTCGAGACGGCGACTGTGCCCATGGTGCAGATAGGGGGCGGCGGGGCGGCTATGTCACAGAATGACGCACCTCTTGCTCGAACTGTGTCCACCAGGCTCGCCAGCGTCGGTGGAAGCGCGGCGGGCTTGGCGGTCGCTGCGGATGCTGCGAACGAGCTCTTCAAAGACGCGATCGATGTTGGCGCCAGTCTTGGCCGATGTCTCGTAAAAGTTGCAGACAAGTGAAGCGGCGGCTTGCGTGCCTTTGCTCGCCTCGACTGTGCGCTGACTGTCAAGATCGGCCTTGTTGCCGACAAGGACCATCGGGAACGAGTCGACGTCCTTCATCCGCATGATGTGCTCGCGGAACAAGTCGATCTCGTCGAAGGATAAGCGGCTCGTGATGTCATAAATGCAGATGAAGCCGTCGCCGAGCCGCAAGAGCATAAATTTCCATTTTCAACCGAACCCCGCGCATCGGCAGACTGAGCTCTCTCCTTGTCGATCGCATGCCGACACTATCGGCTTTGATGGAGCGGAAACCCTCCCGCCGACCGGCTTGATGACGATGCGCGACGACAACGGCGTTGATCTCGGGTGTACACGAGAGCGTAGGTCACCATGCCAATCGGCACGTTGTGCTGGCATTGGAGGTCGAGCCAGCGGAGCGACCGCTTGGCTGACACCCGAGAGTGTCGGGTCGGCTACGGCTCGGTGTGACTTCTGTTGGGCGTGGGCAGGGTGGCTCCGCAGAGCCAACCCCCCCTCCCCTCCCGAGTTGCGCCACCTCTCTACAGCAATCGACGACATGGAAGGCAGGGTTGCTGTGCTTGTGTGCGCTGCGCGTGCGGGACATTTGGAGACTGTGAAGAGGATGGTGGCTGACGGCGTGTCGTTGTATGCAAAGGCGAAGGCGGGAGAAGAAGAACGGGACACGGCGTTGACGGGAGCGGCACGGAACGGTCAGCTGGATGTGGTGCGGTGGCTGGTGGGCGAGGGCGGGGCGGAGGTAGACAATGCCGTGGACGGCGGGTATACTCCACTGTGCATTGCTGCGTCCAATGGTCAGCTGGATGTGGTGCGGTGGCTGGTGGGCGAGGGCGGGGCGGAGGTAGACAATGCCGTGGACGGCGGGTATACTCCACTGTGCATTGCTGCGTCCAATGGTCAGCTGGATGTGGTGCGGTGGCTGGTGGGCGAGGGCGGGGCGGGTGTCGACAAGGCCAACAACAACGGGGCTACGCCGCTGTATATCGCTGCGCAGAACGGGCATCTGGATGTGGTGTGGTGGTTGGCTGGCGAGGGTGGAGCAGATGTCGACAAGGCCGCAGATGGCGGATATGCTCCGCTGTACATGGCTGCGCAGAACGGGCATCTGGATGTGGTGCGGTGGCTGGGGGCGAGGGCGGGGCGGAGGTAGACAAGGCCAACAACAACGGGGCTACGCCGCTGTATATCGCTGCGCAGAACGGGCATCTGGATGTGGTGCGGTGGCTGGCTGGCGAGGGCGGGGC